AGAATAGAATAGAATAGAATAGAATAGAATAGAATAGAATAGAATAGAATAGGGAGTGGGAAGAGAAGAGAAGAGAAGAGAAGAGAAGAGAAGAGAAGAGAAGAGAAGAGGGAATGGAATGAGAATATTCTATTCTATTCTTTGACTGTCTGTTGACTAGATACTTGTGTAATGGTAGCAATAATAAACTCTTTCCTGTTTTGAACTCAATGAATGTTCCTTGTTATTTGTGCTCAACAAATTTTCTATCATATCAGATATTTTTTTTAAAAGATCAGTAAGTATGTTACCTTGATGTTAAACAGCCATGGTTTCATGGCATCCACCTCTGATTCTCCTTTGCTCAGGTCATACACCGCGAGGTATAGTGCTCGTTGAGTCATAAAGTGGGGATGAGCACTGTAGAATTCTTCTTGTCCTACAGAAGAGCAAGTACAGCAGTAATTGGCAGATGGTATGTATGCCCACGTACGCTCTCTGTGACCTCCAATTCTCACCAAAGGGAGAATTTAAACAGAGTTTAAATCATTTCAGGCTGGCGTCAAAAACAAGAACGAAATGTTACAGATCATGAAGAAACAGTTGGCTTTCCAATTTGCTCTCTCACACAGACAACACAAAAGATATTATTGGGAACACGGTTAAAACGGAAAGTTTCCTCGAACTTTAGAAGTTTAGACAAACAAAACTGCATTCCTGTAGGGACAGGGGTGTCAAACTGGGCCGGATGTGTCCCACACAGGCCATGCCCACCCTGACTCCATGAAGGGAGAAAATGTTGTGACACGTCACGGCAAGGTAACACCACAAGTTTGACACCTGGGGGGGGAGGTGGAGTCAAGAGAGGACTCAGCCTGGAATCTTTGTGTCGTCACAAGCGGTCTAAGGCCAACCTCTCTTGAATTCCACTGACTCTCAATTAGCACGAATTTAATGCTGACCCTTAGTTGACTAGATACTCTGTTAATTGACTAGATAAGCAATTAATCAGTTGAATTGCAACTTACTATGTGGATTCTGGTTCTTAGAGCCCAAGAGTTCCCCTATTCTCATCCCGGGGTCTTCAAACTTGACAGCTTGAAGACTTGTGGACTTCAACTCCCAGAATTCCTCCTCCAATCATGTTAACTCAGGAATTCTGTGAGTTGAAGTCCGCAAGACTTAAAGCTGTCAAGTTTGAAGACTCTTGCATTATATGCTAGATCTAAAGACAGGCTCCAGGTTTCCTTCCCCTTTAGTAATTCACACTCCATATTAATTTCTACAATTGCAAAGTACAAGAATTATTGTTATCTACTAGTAGTACTGTGCTATTGCTAAGTGCTACTGCTGTTAGGTGACTGAGCCAATTTTATGACCTTTTTTGCAGCTGTCATGATTTGGTTAATTCCAGGGTGATTTTTGCCAGCTACCTAAACTAGCAATAGCAATAGCACTTACTTTCTACTGCTTCACAGTGACAGCCCTCTCTAAGCTGTTTACAGAGTCAGCCTTTTGTCCCCAACAATCTGGGTCCTCATTTTACTGACCTCGGAAGGATGGAAGGCTGAGTCAACCTTGACCTGGTGAGATTTGAACTGCTGAGCTGCTGGCAGCTGGCAGTCAGCAGAAGTAGCCCACAGTACTGCACGCTAGCCACTCCAGCGAAAAACATTCTAAATCATATTCAAATTACTTTATTGTGATTACTATATTATTATTGTGAATAAATTACTTTATTGTGTAACCAGCAGAAGAGCAAAAGAGAAGAAAATAGTTTCCAAATATCCAGAATATTCAATAATAAATAAAGAGGAGTGATACGTTTTTTTAAAAAATGTATTTAAAGGCATCCTTATTAGTTAAAACTAACTAAAATATAGGATTACAGAGCCCTTGAAAAATCTATTGAGGAAGATACAATACAGTAGCCAACATATGAAAAAAATGATTAGTGGATAATCAGGGGTGGGATCTGACAGGGTTAACTACCAGTTCAGTGATTTACGAGGTTCGGTGATTTACAATGTGCTTCCCTGCATGCTGCGAGCATGCGCCTGTAAATCGTCATCAGCATGCTGCGTGCAGAGAAACAGCCTTTGAAAAAGCACTTTTTTCCTGCTTTTTAAACTGCAGCTGTGCCTCGCACGGCAGCTGAAGTTGAAAAATCAGGAAATAAAGGTCAGGTAAGAGCCCGGGCAGGTGGGTGGGCCAAAACATCAGCAGACATAGAACCGGTTCTGTGTCTGCTGCTCTTCAGAGCTACTGGTTCTACAGTGGTGAACAGAACCGGTAGAAACCCATCTCTGTGGATAATCCTAGATCAGAGCCATTTCCAGTCATATGACTGTTGTAAATTGATGACTACCTGGATTAGGGGAGGTGCTGTGCCTCTCTGTAGGTGCTGATTCGAGCTGTGGTGGCACAGTGATCAGAAAGCGGTATTGCACACAAACTCTGCCCACAGTCTGGAGGTCGATTCTGACTAAGTTCGACTCAGTCTTCTGTCCTTCCAAGGTCAGTAAAATGAGAACCCAGATTGTTGGGGGCAATAGGCTGACTCTGTAAACTGCCTAGAGAGGGCTGTGAAGCAGTATGTAAAGTCTTATTGCTATTCCTTCCTTCCTTCCTCACCCCTAATTCTCTCTCCTTCCTTCCTTCCTTCCTTCCTTCCTTCCTTCCTTCCTTCCTTCCTTCCTTCCTTCCTTCCTTCCTTCCTTCCTTCCTTCCTTCCTTCCTTCCTCCCTCCCTCCCTCCCTCCCTCCCTCCCTCCCTCATTTCCTTTCTCATTCTCCTTCCTGGTGGTGCAGTGGTTAGAATGCAGTACTGCAGTCTGACTGTGCCCACTGTCAGCAGTTCAATCCTGACTGGCTCTAGGTTGATTCAGCCTTCCGTCCTTTCGAAGTCAGATTATTTTTTTGGAGGGGGGGGCAACATGTCGACTCGGTAAACCGCTCAGAGAGAGGGCTGTGAAGCCCTACGAAGTGGTATATAAGTCTAAGTGCCATCGCTCTTGCTGTTCTCCTAAATTCTGAACTGTGTATTTTGCCTTTGTTCCTTGCGGGCGCGAGAAAAATACCTGCAAAATCCCAGACATTTAAAACTGTCTCTTTCTTGATTTTGCCTTTTCGAGGGATCTTCCAGTCATTCACATCAATTCCGATGGTCGGCTTTTGAGGCCCCAAATCTGGCCTCTTGCATTTCATGAGCTGTTGTAACAAGGTTGTTTTACCGCTGCTGGCGTTTCCAACTACCATGAGCTTCATTCTATGGTAGGGGACAGCTTTCTTTAAACGCTGTTGAAGGAACCTGGCAAAAAAGAAAAGGAAAGGCTTGTTTGAATTACAGAATTGTTTTTTAAAATAATAATAATAATAATCCTTCTCTTCTCTTGGTAAAAATACTTCAGGAAGGAAACCAGACCTGTCCAACTGCCAAGACAATTGAGAACTAGATGGCAGGAAAAAGGGATATCATATCGGTGAATTGACAAGGAGAAAAAAGGAAAGGAAACTATTTCAAGGGTTTATCATTTCCTTTTTTAAAAATATTTTTTTTATTTTTAATATAATCATTTCATCTTCAGTTGAACAGTGTGTTTTCTGCATTCAAACATCTTTGTTAAACAACAATCAAAATAACAACATCCTCCATTACATATTAATTCTGCAATATTTAACATAGTAATGTCCACCTATTAATTATACTAATTGTACAATATCAACGTAGTAGTATTCAATATGTTAGTCATCATATTAACTTATCACTTTTAACACATCCTCTTTGTTTTGTTTCCTTATTTCTAACTTCCATTTTTATTATTTAATCATTGATAGAATAAATCCCATACCATATAATATTCAGTTTGCTCATTCTCCTTAATTGCCAATGTTAATCTATTAATTAAAGACTTATCATTTCCTGATTTATACTGTAAAGCCTTCTTCCAACACGTGAATATTTATTAGAATGGCTGCAGGATCTGAGTAATGTCTACTTTAATGAAAGGGGGGACACAATAGCAGTGTCCCAATATCTCTGGGGTTGCCACAAAAAAGAGGAGGTCAATTTATTCTCCAGGGCACCTGAAGGCGGGGCAAGAAACAATGGATGGAAATTAATCAAGGAGAGAAGCAACCTAGAAATAAGGAGGGATTTCCTGACAATCAGAATAATTAACCAGTGGAACAACTTGCCTCCAGAAATCGTGGGTGATCCATCAATGGAGGCTTTAAAGAAGAGATTGGATAACCATCTGTCTGAAATGGCATAGGGTTTCCTGCCTAAGCAGGGGGTTGGACTAGAAGACCTCCAAGGACCCTGCCAACTCTGTTATTCTGTTGTTATCGGTGTTTTTTCCAGTGACAATAGCTGTACAAAGCCATAGAAAGAATGGTCAAGAGAACTCACCGGATGATATCCCTTGCTTTGTCTCCCACGTGTTTAAAATCTAAATTAAGATGCAGTCCTTCTAAAGGAAGATCCCATATATTCAACAATTTTCCCATTTCATCTGGAAAACACCGGATGGCTGGATTGTAACTAACATCAAAAGACGTCAAGTTTTTCAGAAAGCCAATTTCAGGAGGGATCTAGAGAGAGGAGAAAAAGAAGACTGTATATTTTTTGAGAATAGAACTGCTAATCTATCAGTTGTCAACGTCAGTTCCATGCCAAACTAATCTAAGTTTTAATCAGATGTTTAATTTAGACAATTAACTCGGTAGCGAGTTAATTCTAGGCCAGTCATTGCTTCTTCTTTTTTAAAAAAAGAAAGTTTTTTTTTATTTTTATTTTTATTTTTATTTTTTAAACCATCTTTCTGTTCAGCACTGTCGGTTGGGTACATATATCTTGTGCACATTGTAATAATATCATACATTTCTTACTTGTTTATATTTATAACCATTCTAATCAATACTTTATATCACATTTGTCAATTCTTGTATTACCATTAACATTGTAATTATTGCCTTTCAAAAATATATTTCATCCTTACCTAAATTATATTCATTCTTTTACTCAATTTAACTCAATCAATTACGAGGTATTATGCTATTATTACATATTTCAACTTCTTACTCTTCTATCTAGCCATTCATGGAATAAATTCCAAATTTTATAATAATCTTTTTCTTCCTGTTCTCTAATTGCCATTGTCACTCTACTCATTTCTGCACATTCCATTATTTTCTTAATTGTTTCCTCTTCTGACGGAATTTTCTCATCTTTTCAATTTTGTACAAATACAATTCTAGCTGCTGTTAATACATTGATAATCAAATACGTTATCTCTTTATTGTAACCTTCAGGTCCATTCATTGCTTCTTTTGAAGAGCGTTCAGGTTAACGTTACAGGTAGTCCTTGACTTACAACCATGACCGTTCAAAGTTACAAAGAAAAAGGGGACTTACAACCATGTTCCCCACACTTATGACCATTGGAACATCCCCATGGTTACGTGATCAGAATTCAGACACTTCTCCACTGACTCATAATTATGACCATTGTAGTGTAGGAAGCCAGATTCACTTAACAACCGGGATCCTAACGTAATAGCCGCAGAGATTCACTTAGCCCGTGTGGCAAAAGAGGTTGTAAAATGGGGCAAAACTCGCTGATCTGCTTAGCAGTGGAAATTTTGAGCTTGGTTGAGGTCGTAAGTCGAGGATTGCCTGTAACTGACTCCCTATTGTCACCTTCTCCAATTAAATAATGCTGGTGTTTTTGTTTTTTTTAATTCTTAAAATTGAAGCATTGCTTGAGCATTCGGTGGTATGTTTTCTCTGCTTCCCTGGAAGAAAAGTTTATTCTGGAGAACCATGCCTCCATACCATGATTAAAATTATTTAGATCCATTCTTTATCTGCAGGAAACTGCAAAATATATTCATATATTCTTCTGAAGACTTATTTGCTTGAGGTTTAATAATACAGTTTGATAGACTTTCCTCTCTGGTTTCTTGTCATCCTCTTTTGCAAAGTAATAGCACTTACACACCGCTTCACAGTGCTTTTACAGCCCTCTCTAAGCAGTTTACAGAGTCAGCCTCTTGCCCCCAACAATTTGGCTCCTCATTTTACTAACCTCGGATGGACGGAAAGCTGAGTCAAGGTGAGGTGAGGATCGAACTCCTGGCTGTGGGCCGAGTTTAGCCTGCAATACTGAATTCTAACCACTGTGCCACCAGGAAGAAGAATGAGAAAGGGAATAAGAGAGGGAGGGAGGGGAGAAGAGGGAGGGAGGGAAGGAGTAGAAATAGCACTTAGACTGGAAGGAAGGAAGGAAGGAAGGAAGGAAGGAAGGAAGGAAGGAAGGAAGGGCAATAGCTTAGATTTATCTACTGCTTACAGTACTTTCCAACTCTCTATAAGCAGGTTAGAGTCAGCCTATTGACCCCAACAATCTGGGTCCTCATTTTATCCACCTTGGAAGGACGAAAGGCTGAGTCAACCTTCAGCCTGGTGAGATTCGAACCACCAAATTGCAGGCAGCCAGCAGGCAGGCAGAAGTAGCCTGCGGTACTGCACTCTAACCACTGCGCCACCGTGGCTCATAAAGTAAGCTTTGCATTAAGACAATTAAGATCTGTTTTCCTCAGCAGTTATTTGGATGGAAGGCATCCTGCTTCTCTGTCTTCAAATAAATCAGTCTTGATTACTTTGAGTTTGTTTACAGCCCAGTCCAATACAATCAGGGCTGAAGGAACGTAATTTTTCAAGAAAAAAGCAATTGCTTCAAAGGTTCCCGAAAAGTATTTTGAAAAAGAATGCATCGGTGCATAGTAATAAAATCAATTACTATTTTATGATGCGTATTACCTCTCTTAACTTGTTGTTAGACAGGTGTAGCTTTTCAAGCCGAGACCAGGAAGAAGCTTTGTCATTCAGGTCCAGAATGCTTATTTGATTGTGGTTAAATAGCAATTCTCTTAAATTGGACGATTTCCAAAACGCAGGCCCTGGTAGCATCCCAATTCTATTGCTGCTTAAATCCACCGATCGCAAACTGGCAAAGAGAGAAAGGAATACAATTGCTATTAAATGAAAAGTTAGACCTTGTAACTCGCAGCAATCATTTCCAAACATGAGGGCCATACAGAAAAAATATTATATTTATTAATTTTCGAAGGATGCTAACCGTACATCAGATGGCTTTTCTTTTTAACCAGGTCACTGTCAGGATTCCAAGTAACACACCCAAACGGAATCAAAACTCCAAAGCAGGCATATTCCTTAAAGTATAGATTTATTAGCTGGAAACCTGCTTCGCTATGAAACTATGTGGTTGGGCTTAGTTTTTGGGGAGGAAAATAAGGCGGAGGGGAAATTCTGCCTCTGCCTACCAGCATCCATTGGTATTCATCTGGATAGCATCCTGTCAGTGTGTGAGAGAGTTGAGGGCTGTTTGGAAAGTGAAACAATATTTGCTGTGTGAGCAAGAAGGAGATAGGAAGGAGCCTGGGTGTGGCTTAGCTCAACTATTCTGTACTAAAGCTGCTTGGTGCTGTGAAACTGAAACTGAAACTCTTCTCCTTTGTTTGTGTTTTGCATTTGGGACAGATTTCTTTCCAGGTGGGGAGGAGGAGTAGAACTCCTTAGCATCAGAGCATATTAATAATAGTGTATAGCTCTGAGGGTCATTTGGAAAAATCCTTTCTTAGTGAGCCCCTAGAAGCCAAGAGGAAGATATGGGCCAAATTTCAAGTTTGTAGGCTTTACGGTTCTGGAGATTTTGTGATGATGCGTGAGGGGTATTTCCCTTTTATATATATATATAGACTAGCATGGAATTAGGAATGTCATATTGGCACATCTGGGGAAACCCGACTCTAAACCCCCCTCAGATTTCCCTCTGGTTAAAAGTGAAATTTTCCTTCCCCTGCCCATGCAGTCCATGATGTGGTCCAATCAGGTCACAGCCCAAGGGTCAGTTGGTCTCAAATCCCACCTCCTCACACCTGGTGGGAAAGTCCTTGGTTCTCGGAGAAAAGGATTGTATTTTGGCTTCAGTCCTTCAGCTATCTCTACCTCCCCACCGCCCTCTCATCTCAACTCATCTCCGCTGTGGCAGCCCTGAAGGTGCCAGGGGGAAAATGACTCCTGGGTTGACAAATCACACACTGTGCATTTTTTTTTTAAATTAGGCATGCTTTTTTAAAATTCTCTCATTATTTTTGTCCCTTTCCTAACAACTAAACCAGTGGTGGGATTCAATATTTTTTACTACCAGTTCTATGGGCGTGGCTTGGTATGTGTGGTGCGGCTTGGTGGGCGTGGCTTGGTGGGCACGTCAGGGGAAGGATACTGCAACATCTCCATTCTCTCCTCACCCCACTAACCTGCTTTCCAGCTCCGTTCTCCTGTGCAGGGCAACCAAAGAAGACCCAGCTGGGACTCGTGAGGCAGAGAATAGATGGGGTGGGGCCAGTCAGAGGTGGGATTGGCTGGTTCTCCAAACTAATCAAAATTTCCGCTACCGGTTCTCCAGAACTGGTCAGAACCAGCTGAATGCCACCTCTGAACTAAACCATTCTTTCTTTTAGTATGTGACAGGCATGTGTTTTTCTCAAGCAATGAATGCAATAGATCAGGGTTCCCCAAATCCCGAGGCAGTAGGCGAGCAGGTGTGTAGCGGGCAGGCAAGCGCATACACCTAAAATCTCTCTTCCCCATCCACCCATTCATAAAGTCAGAAAGATTGGAGACCCCTGCAATAGATATTTGCAATTACCAAAAGTCTCCACAAATCAGTACAAGAACAGGAGGTGCAAATTTTAATGTACGTAGAATAGAAGAATAGAATAGAATATAGAATATAGAATATAGAATATAGAATAGAATATGAATATAGAATATAGAATGGAATAGAATAGAATAGTATAGAATAGAATAGAGAATAGAATAGAATAGAATAGAATAGAATAGAATAGAATAGAATAGAATAGAATAGAATAGAATAGAATATGGAATATGGAATGGAATGGAATGGAATGGAATGGAATGGAATGGAATGGAATAGAATAGAATTCTTTATTGGCCAAGTGTGATTGGATACACAAGGAATTTGTCTTGGTGGAGATGCTCTCAGTGTACATAAAAGAAAAGATACATTTGTCAAAAGTCAAGAATCATCAGGTGCAACACTTGGTGATAGTCATACGGTACAATCAGCAATCATCACGTATCCTAGTAACTTACTGTGGTAGAAGAAGAATTGCTTCTGGAACGTTGTAAAAAGCATTCTGAGATAGCTTCAATGTAGTTATGCTACAAGGCAAGTTCTTTATGGTGTCTAAAACACAGAGAAATAAGCGTGTTAGTAACCGGTTTGGAAAAACAATTTGTCATAAGACAACTGAACAACGCAGTTATCAAACAGATATCCTATAGGTAAAGGTTCCCCTCACACACACGTGCTAGTCATTTCTGGCTCTAGGGGGCGGTGCTCATCTCCGTTTCAAAGCCGAAGAGCCAGCACTATCCAAAGACATCTCTGTGGTCGTGTGGCCGGCATGACTAAACACCAAAGGTGCATGGAACGCTGTTCCCTTCCCACCAAAGGGCTCCCTATTTTTCCACTTGCATTTTTTTTTACATGCTTTTTGAACTGCTAGTTTGGCAGAAGCTGGGACAAGTAAAGGGAGCTCCCTCCGTGATGCAGCGCTAGGGATTCGAACTGCTGAACTGACGACCTTTCTGATCGACAAGCACTAGGACTAGAGGTGACATGATAGCAGTCTTCCAATATTTGACCCCAAAGAAGAGGGGGTCAACCTATTTTCCAAAGCACCTGAAGGCAGGACAAGAAGCAATGGATGGAAATTAATCAAGATAAGAACCAACCTAGAACTAACGAGAAATTTCCTGGTAGTGGGGACAATTAACCAGTGGAACTGCTTGCCTCCAGAAGTTGTGTATGCTCCATCATTAGAGGCTTTTAAGAAGAGCCTGGACCACCATTTGTCTGAAATGGTATGGAGTTTCCTACTTGAGCAAGGGGGTGGACTAGAAGACCTCCAAGGTCCCTTCCAACTCTGTTATTCCGTTATTATTAATATGATGTAAGCCACATGCTGAGGTCTGCCTGTTTTTTTAGTTTTACTTTATTCGCTTCCATTCCTAGCACCGCTCCTTCTAATACGACATACTCACAAATTCTATTTGCTGCTGCATTGAGTTTTTCCAACTTCAAACAATCATGCAGAAATTCGGTATCCAGGTACGAAATGTCGTTCTTGCTAATGTTTAAATTTTTCAGTTCTTTCAAACTGCTTCTTGCAATTAATGTTGAAAGTCTGTTCCTGGGAGAAAGGAAGAAGACGAAAAAGAGCATTTCAGCAAAGGTCACACAAAACAGCTGTTGATTGTTCAATTCATTTATTTTATTGATGAAAACATTTTGTATGGAGGCCCAACTCACGCCTAGGTGGCTCCAGGCAGCTTACAACATTTAAAAATCCATAAAAACATTCCTAGGACTGTTTTAGTAGTTGCTATTAAAAAAAAAAAGGAGGGGTGGGGAAGGAAAGAAATCTGGAAGAGCAGTACGGTTTGAAAGCGGAAGTACATTCCAATACTTCTCTTTAAAAGATTGTAACTAAAATACCAGAGCTTTTGCCCGGGAATATATTTAATTGGAGAATGTGATTGGTGACACTCAGCCGGTGAATGTGTTCAATTGGAGAATCTGGTTTATGAGACACCCAGGGGGGAGGGGGGAAACAAGGTCACAGGGGACCATAAATGACATATGCCAGAGTTGGCTTCATACAGGGCAATGCCAGTATGTCGCCTCTAATAAATCCTTTGAAGTTTTTTTGAAGTTTGGCTCAAGAATCATGATTTAATTAGGGCGATTGCTGGAATCCTGACAATCCACCCCGTAAAATCCCACCAAAATATAAATACCATCCTGCGGGTCTTTTCTCCGATACAAGTTAGTCCACAATTTACAACAATTCATTTCATGGCTGTCCAAAGTTACGATGGCCCTGAAGAAAGTCGACTTACAAATGTTTTTCACACTTAACGAAGGTAGCAGCATCTCCAGGATCACACAACCAAAATTAAAAGGCTTGGCGACTGGCTCGTATTTATGATGGCTGCAGCATCCCGGGATGACGTGATTTGGTCCCGTTTTGTGACTTTCTGACTGCCAAGTCCATGGGGAAACCAGATTCACTTAACAACTGCAGTGATTTTTCCCCTCACAATTGTGGCAAGAAAAGATGGAAAATGGGGCAAAACTCGCTTAACCAATGTCTCATTTAATGACAGAAATTTTGGGCTCCATTGCGGTCATAAGTCAAGGAGTGCCTGTATTCAAGTCAACCTCAGCTTCTGATGATGACATGAACCAAACCATGTGGTTTTCCTAGCAGTGTCACAGACATAGTTAATCATAGCCTTTTTTGAGGATAGGTTGTGAAAGTTGGGCCTTAATTCCATATTATTAGAAATATGCGAAGCTTTTTCTCCAGTAATATTGTACTACTAACTAGAGCAGTGGTGGTTAACCTTTTTTGGCTTCTTTGGCAAAAATTGTGCGCATGCTTTGTGCGCGTGCTCACATCAGCACCCAGAAGGCAATGCATGCTGGGTCTCTGCATGCCATGCTTCTCTGCACATGCACGCAATCCCTCCTGTGCACCACACATCTCTGCGCATGCGTCTCCCATGCATCCCTGCGCATGTACGCCGGATACCTGACAATCAGCTGTTGGGTGGCAGCGGGTGTGTATGCGCAGTGGGGCTCTTCCAGGCGACCTCTTGCATGGTGGCAGAAATGGCTCTGTGTGCCACTTCCGGCAGGCATGCCATAGGTCGCCAACATGAAACTAGAGTATACAAATCATTTGCTAGACCAATTCTTGAATACAGCTCATCTGTCTGGAATCCACATTGTATATCGGACATTAACACAATCAAGAGAGTCCAGAGATATTTCACGAAAAGAGTCCTCCACTCCTCTACTTGCAATAGAATACCTTATGCCACCAGACTTGAAATTTTAGGCCTAGACAACTTAGAACTACGCCGACTTTGGTCCGACCTAAGCATAGTACATAAAATTATCCATTGAAATGTCCTACCCGTCTATGATTACTTAACTTCAACCACAGCAATACACGAGCACACAGTAGATACAAACTCAAGGTAAACCGCATCAAACTGGATTGAAGGAAATACGACTTCAGCAACAGAGTGGTCAATGACTGGAATACTCTAATTGACTGTGGTTTCTTCCCCAAACTCCAAAAACTTTAACCTTAAGACTGTCTACTGTTGACTTCACGCCATTCCTAAGAGGTCTGTAAGGGGTGTGCATAAGCGCACCAACGTGCCTGCCGTCCCTGTCCTAATGTCTCCTTTTATTCTTACCCATTTTATGTATTAATAATCATGTTTATAGTTATATCTCTTATCTAATACATGTTTGACAAAATAAATAAGTAAAATATATAATAAAAACCTTTGTTTATGTTCTCACCCTTCCAATATGAAATGTTCCAGGTTGATCAGAATATTGCCAAGATATCTAGGAATGCCCAACAGTTGGTTGTAGGACAAATTGAGTAATTTTAGAGTTGGACAGGTGATTGTTGGACTGAAGCACAAGGTAGGTCCAATTTCATTCCGTGAAACGTCGAGGTGAACGATCTGAGGCATTTCCAAGAGATATTGAGGGAAAGACTTCAAATGGTTGCTGTGCAGGTCGAGATAAGTCAAAGATTTCATGGTCTAAAAGAAAAAAGTTATTATGACCAATAAACCAATTTAATAAATTATGTTAGGGTAAATACACGGATAAAGTGGTAGAAAATGTAGCTTATTGAAGGGATCACTTAAAAGAAATAATCTCTATCTGGAAAAAATGCAAGAATCATAATGATCCTCTCAAGGAACTCCTGTAATAAACATAAATGAGTTCCCCAGTTTGTATCATAACTCCGTTTTACTTTAACCGAGTGCTGTGATGGCAAACTTATGGCATGCGTGCCAGAAGATGAACAACCTTCCAATGTGAACATAATCCATAATTACATAATGGCAGCATCCTTATAAACCATGTTCTTAAAGTAACGAATCACGCACCTACGATAATGGGACTAGTGAAAAGTTGTTCCAGGTTGCATCTTAATTTCTTTGAGGACCAAAATCTAGTATTTTCCGATTCCTTTGTCCTTCTCAGGAGACTCACCTCACAGAGTTGCTTCGGCACGCACGAAAGCTGGTTGTGATGCAGTTCTAATTTGTCAAGGTGTTCGAAATGAGTAATTAAGCCAAGACTTTGGCTGATGTTGTCTATGTTCTCCAGCTCATTTGAGGACAAGTCGAGGGATTTAATATATTCTCGGTCGGAGACCAGGGAAGGGAAGCTGTCCGAGCTCTTCATGTTGGGTTGGAATACAGATGTGCCTTCTAATTTTAAAAAAAAATTAAAAAATCAATTTCATTAGAAATCTCTGTTGCATTGGTTGCATTGATTCAGCTGTGCTAAAACAAAAGGAAATAAAGCACAGGAAAAGACGGGGCAGATGCACGGGGCCAAAAGATCACCGGAACTGCCGGTTTGCCGGAACCGGTCCAAACCGATAGAATCCCATCCCTGTATATAACTAACTTTCTCGTTGTTCCCCACCCACCCACATTGCCCAGCTGAGTTCCACACCGCCCCTGCTGCAGTCACCGGAGCTGCCTGAGTAGACTAGCTGCATATTAGAAGCTCCTTGTCAACCAGAGGTGGGATTCAAATTTCTTAACAACTGGTTCTGTGGGCGTGGCCTAATTTGTGGGTGTGGCTTGGTGGTTATGTGACTGGGTGAGCATGGTTTGCTGACTGGGTGTGGCTTGGTGGGCACGTGACTAGCTGGGCGTGGCTTATATGTAAATACTGTAAATATTTACATTATTTACAATACTGTAATATTTACGGTATTGTAAATATTTATTTTTTTATTTAAAAAAGAACAACTTTTACCCAAAATCAGGCAAAGCAGGCAGGCAGATTGAGTCGCTCACAGAATCACAGATTCACTCAGAGATCTATCTTTCTGCCATCGGCTAGTTGAGTCTGCACTGAAAAATAGAAGTTCCAGTCCTAAGGAAGATTCAACCCTGCTTTTAGATTAGCTAGAAAGCAAAAAATCCAAAGATTTCCTGCTTTCTAGATAATCTAAATCTCCCGGCACAGCAGAACAGCTGATGGTCAGGGGGGAAGGAAAAATAGTAACTTAGCGGGCAGGTTTGATGGCATGCATACCAGGCAAGTTGTAAGTGGGTGAGGAGGAGCCAACCAGTGGCACGATTTGCCAGTTCTCTGAACTGGGCAGAATTATAACAACCAGGTCTATAGAACTGGTCCAGCCAGGTAGAATCCCACCCCTGCTGTCAATTCATAAAATATTTCTGTGGTCTTTTTAGAGTTGCCAACAGAAAGGGTAGTGTAGCAGCTTGCAAAACTGAAACTGCATTCCATAAACGTTTTCAAAGATAGTAACTAGGTGACTGAAGTTTCTGCCATGCAAAATTCTAACTGGAGAGCATGATTGTGACTCTTAGCTATGGAGGTGTCCCATTGGAGAATATGAATTACGATACACCCAGGGGGTGGGAGAAGATGATAATGAATTATGTGCCTCAGAGTCAGCTACACCCAGGCAGTGCTGGCATGTTAACTCCCAATAAATCCTTTTGAAGTTTTAGAAGTTTGGCTCGAGATTTATGATTTAAATGGGCGGTAACTGCCAGAATCCTGACACTCCATTTCAGTCCCAAAGGGGCGTGTGAGAGCAAAGCGACCGCATGCGCGCGTATGCTCACGACCAGCAAATCGGTTGGTAACGTAAGTGCAGCCCCATCTCTGCAAGTAGTCCTCGACTTACGACCACAATTGAGCCCAACATTCCTGTTGTTAAGTGAATCAACCTGTTAAATGAATTCTGCCTCGTTTTACGAGCTTTCTTGCCACTGTTGCTTAGTGAATCACTGCCGTTGTTAAGTTAGTAACTTGGTTGTTAAGTGAATCCGGCTTCCGCATTGACTTTGCTCGTTGGAAGGTCACAAAAGGGGATCACGTGACCCATGGACATCGCAACTGTCATACATGTGAGTCAGTTGCTAAGCATCTGAATGTAAATCACATGACTATAGGGGTCACTGTAAGGATCACAAGTGTGAAAAACGGCCATTCCTGATTTTTTTTCAGTGCCGTTGTAATTTTGACCAGTCACTAAATGAACTGTTTTAAGTCCAGGACTATCTGTATGTGAGTTCACACACCCCATTATATTCAAACCAAACCACATCCAACTGGTATGTACCCCATACTAGTAACACTATTAACAGTTTTGTTCATATTACAGTATTCTGCACTATTAGAGCTTCATTTTGCTTTTAGCTATTTTCGACCAGGTATGCTTCGATAAGGTACGTCTAAACTTTAAAATCTATTATAACGTTTTACTTACTGTTCTGTTTTTCAGAAAACACATTTTTTCTTCTTTGGTTCTTTAATGGTTCGTAAGGTGATCCAGCCCCCTGAAAAAAAAAGCCCCAAAAATAAAAAAATCTGGACATTTACACATTTTAGTTCAAACCGTTATAACAATTAATCAGTGGAACAACTTGCCTCCAGAAGTTATAAATGCTCCAACACTGGAAATTTTAAAGAAGAGATTGGACAACCATTTGTCTGAAGTGGTGTAGGGTCTCCTGCCTAAGCAGGGGGTTGGACTAGAAGACCTCCAAGGTCCCTTCCCTTCTTTTCTATTCTATTCTCCATTCCATTCCAATTCCAATTCCAATTCCAATTCTAATTCTCCATTTCCATTCTATTCTGTTCTATTCTATTCTTTTTTTTAAGGATACGGTATATTCCAGACCCAATTCCTTGCTCGCAAAGAGTGCTAATCTAGCTGATTGATTGATTTTTCCCTGTCCATATAAATAGACACTACTGTTAAAAGAAAGAGATGGCTAAATATAGGTAAGTCCTCGACTTATAACAGTTCATTTAGTGACCGTTCAAAGTTACAATGGCATTCGAGAAAAAAGTGACTTAGGACCATTTTTCACACTTACAAATGTTGCAGCTATGCCGTGGACACCTGATCAAAATTGTGACGCTTGGCAACTGGTTCATATTTATGACGCTCGCAGTGCCCTGGAGTCATTGGGGTAATAGAGCCATTGTACCTTTGAACAGGGGCTGAAATGACCGTCGTTAAATGAGGACTACTTGTACAACTGGAAGCCATTGGAACTATTGGTCTCACCACAGATTTGGAATGTCTTTGTAGCGGAGGAGTAGAACTCTGAAGAGGTTTCTGGAGGTCTGCAGCTGCCACAGAGTAAGATTTCTGCCTCACCGTAAATGAGCTTTCACTCCCTGAGGCAAAAAGAAAACAACAATTGATTAAAATAAATTACACATATATGTATAAAACAGGGAAATGAAAAAAAAAAAAACCCAAATACACGCAAACACAACAAACTGCAACTAGTAACTATCCAGATATCCGAAATGTAGCATGATACTCTCCCCTTTTATTACTTTTATCTAGGGGTGAGCTGCTACCGGTTCACACCGGTTCAGGCGAACTGGTTGTGAATATAAGGTCAGTTTGACGAACCAGCAAATCCTAACCCTGGCTGGCCCCACCCACCCTGCCCTGCCCCACCCCTCCCAGGAGTTCCTGTGGGGCCTGTTTTGGATCACAGGTGAGTGCAGGTCACACACAGAGGCTTGGGGAGGGTGAAAAACGGGCCTCCCAGAAGTTCCAGAAGGCTGGAAACAGGCCCGTTTCCAACCTCCAGATAGCCTCCAGAGCCTGGGGAGGACAAAAACACTTCCTCCGGTGGCCTGTTTTCGCTCCCAGAGTGGTGCAGGAGGACGACTAGCCAGTGGTGACTAAACTTTTTGGGCTCCCGTGCCAAAAATTGCGCGTGCGCTTGCACGCTCATGCTCGTGTGCCAGCACCCAGAAGGCAATGTGTGCTTCCCCACACCCCCTAAGCATGCGCGTGTAATCCCCCACCCACCCACCCCCTTACCTGCACTGCACCTCGCAGCTGATTTTCAGCTGGTTTGAGGCCTTCTTTGGCCTCCCAAAGGCTTGAAGAAGGGTTCTGCAAGCTTCTGCAAGCTTTGTAGGCCGAAAACTAGCCCCGTTTCGTCACTTCCTGTTTTTCCGAAAATACTGGAAGTGACAAAACGCAGCTAGGTTTTGGCCTACAAAGCTTGCAGAAGCCTGCAGAAGACTTCCTCAAGCCTTTGGGAGACCGAAAAAGGTCTCAAACAGGCCAAAAATCAGTGGTAAGGCGCGCAGATGCATAGTGAAGTAAGTTTGCCTGCAGCTCGCATGCCAGCACAAATGGCTCATGTGTGCCATAGGTTCGCCATCACGGGACTAGGCCATGCCCACCAGGGCCATGGTCTCCCAGCAACCAGGCAGAGAACTATTTGTTATATTTTTTGAAGCCCACCCCTGCTTTCATCATTCGGGTAATTCAGGGTAGAGTCAGGGCAACTGACTGGAGCTGAGTGCTTACTGGCCGGATGCTCTTTCTGACACCTACATGGAGTTCGCAGTAGGCATTTTTTTCTTTGTGCCCGGGGAGAGACAAATTATCTGTGCTACCTAGGATTGAAGTCTCAACCTTCTGAACAGGAGGCAATTAGCTTCCCCGCTAGGCCACCACGCCACTCAGAAATGTAGCACAATATGACTGCAGATTACACAGGCAGTCTTTCATTTATGATCACAATTGAACCCAAAATTTCCGTTGCTAAGTGAGACATTGGTCAAGTGAGCTTTATCCCATTTTACAACTTTTCCTCCTACAGTTGTTAAGTAGATCTCTCAAGGTGATAAATTAGTAACAGGGCTGTTAAGCAAATCTGGCTTCCCCATTGATGTTGCTCATCAGAAGGTCACAAAAGGGGATCATGTGACCTCAAGACACGGTGATAGTTATCAATATGAAACAGCTGCCAATCATCTGAATTTGGATAATATAACCATGGGGATGCTGCAATGGTCGTAAGTTTGAAAAATGGTCATCGGTCCCTTTTTTTCAATGACATACCTTTAGACAGTCACTAAATGAACTGTTGTAAGTCGAGGAATATCTGTACAGTAGCTTCAATCCATTTATTTATTTAAAAAATAAAATTAACTCTCATCAGAACATGAATAATATCTAAATCTTACAGTTATGTGCAGGGTTTAAAAAAAAGTTAACTTTTAAAAGAAGACTTTTAGAGTAAATAGCACATCTATTTAATGTTAAACCACATTAACATTATCTAATGTTAAACAAACAAGAAATATAGTTAAAAATCAAAGGGAACAAATACACAGAGCACCAGCTGCATTTCCTGACTTCTCTTTCTATAAAGTAGCTTTCTAAAAGTTTACTAGGGCTTCTTCCCTCCTGTTATGTCCGTCAGAGTCTGAATACGAGGAGGAAGATGAATAGCTGACAGGGAGCAGGAGTGTGGCTCCGTTGGCTGTGGAGGAGGCTGGGGAAGGGCAAAGTCTGGCTGGGCAGAGCAGGAGAGAGGTAGAACAAGGGAGAGAGAGTTCAGAGGAAGACCCAGGCCCACCCTCTTTATCCTAGGGCACGCAGGGAGGAACGGAGAAGGGAGCAACGTGGGTTGCATGGCTTACGGGGGAGGAAAGGGCCCTGATTCCCTTCATTAGCCACAGCTGGGAATGAAAGTTTATAAGAAGTGAATGCTGACTGCAGCAGCTTCTGGGAGCAAAGGTGACTTTATCCTGTGTTGTCTTTGCTTATCTGTTTTCCTTGCGTCTTCCCAACCCTGTGAGTTTTGCTGTGCTTTCACGTTTGGAATTCTTGCTCATGCCCTGCCAAACTAATTAACCTCATTTTGCCTTGATTGGACTTATAGTTAGTTTTTGTTGACCATGTTTTGGACTTGATTCTCTGCAGCCAAAGGCTGTTCCTGGGAGAGTCTTTCTCCAGCCAGAAGGTAACCTGGACATTGAGGGCAAAGTTGGAGCTAATAAAGGGACTTATTGATTATCTGACTGTGTTGCTTTTGGGCCATGCCCCGGGTCATCATACTTATTAAAGGTCATCAGACAACATAGGATAAATGCAGAAAATATAAATTCACGACTTGATGTTTAAGTCAGTCCTTCTCATGCAATACAGAATAACTCGCCACTTCTGACTTACAAATTCCGAGTTGCAGTGAAATTAATTAACACAATATATTCTGAGTTTTCCATTATGCATAGATGTGCAGACTAAAGCAGATTAGATTATAACATTGCACGCTACAGCTAGAGGAATGGAGGCAGAGATAACATTTTTAAAAAAATGTGCTGTAGAAAACTTTAGAATCCCACACACCCTCGTGATGTACACACATCACTTCCATGCTTATACACCCAACGGGGTGTGTTCTTTTTATATGCTAGTGTTGATATATTCACAGAGAGATAAATCTGTTCATTTCGTTAAGCGCACGTACCTTCGCTGTCTATGTCATCAGTCAACGAGAAAACATTGTCCACTAAAGGGTCAGGTAAGAACGTCCATTCATTCTGCATTTCATCGTTCTGGCTATTGACGTCACCTCTTGACTGATCTTCATAACTACTCGTCCTCTGGTATCGAAGGACCATTACGGCCAACGCAGAACTTGAACCTTACATACAAGAAAGAAAAGTAATACTATTTCACAAATATTGAACAGATTGTCAGGATTCCGGCAGTTACCCCCATTTCAATCATAAGTCTCGAGCCAAACTTCCAAAACCTCAAAAGGAATTATTGGGAGTTAACATATCCGGCACTGCCTGTGGGTAGCCGACTCTGAGGCACATCATTCATTGTCACGCCTGACCTTGATTTTCCCCCACCCCCTGGGTGTATCGTAATTCATATTCTCCAATGGGACACTTCCATAGCCAAGAGTCATCAATCATGCTCTCCAATTAGAATTTTGTGCAACAGAAACTTCAGTCACCTAGTTACTATCTTTGAAAACAATGATGAAATGCAGTTTAGGTTTTGCAAGCTGCTACACTACCCTTTCTGTTGGCAACTCTAAAAAGACCCTAGAAATATTTTATGAGTTGACACAGACTACATACCGGTACTAGAGGGGTGTCAAACTCAAGGCCCAAAAAGCTGGATCTGACCCGTGGAGTGCTTAGATCTGGCGGAAGAGGCCGGTCTGGAAATAGCAAAGGACTGGCCCACAGCGCCTCCTGGGCCCTGTTTTTGGCAGCAAAGTGCTGCAGGAGACTGTCCAGGCCGAAAATGGGCCACCGGGGGGACACAAATGCCCCTCCCTGCGTCCCATTTTGCTTGGCAATGTGCTGCAAGAGGCATCCCTCTCGTCCCCCTCCTCCCCCAGCCCATGGAGGAGATCTACAGTGCCACAAGGTTCCATCTTAGGCCCAGTACTCTTCAATATCTTCATTAACGACATAGATGAGGGAATAGAAGGGGAACTTACCAAATTTGCAGATGATACTAAGCTGGCAGGAATAGCTAACACCCAAGAAGATGGGCTCAAGATCCAGATGGATCTTGACAGATTAGAACACTAACAAAATGAAATTCAACGTAGAGAGAAGGAAAGTCCTACACTTTGGCAAGAAAAACCAAAAGTACACATATAGACTGGGTGAAACCAGGCTCAATAGCAGTCACTGTGAGAGGGATCTTGGAGTCTTCGTGGACAACCAGCTAACTAGGAGCCAGCCGTGTGCAGCAGCAGCCAAAAAAGCTAATGCAATCCTAAATTGTATTAACAGAGGGATACAATCAAGATCAATACCACTCTATAAAGCCTTAGTAAGACCACACCTAGAGTACTGCATCCAGTTTTGGTCACCACACTATAAAAAAAGAAGTTGAGATTCTAGAAAAAGTGGCAAGAAGAGCAACCAGGATGATGAGGGGACTGGAGACTAAAACATAGGAAGAACGGTTGCAGGAACTGGACATGGCTAGTCTAGTGAAGAGAAGGACCAGGGGAGACAGGAGAGCAGTCTTCCAATATCTGAGGGGCTGCCACAGAGAGGAGGGGGGGTAAAGCTATTTCCCAAAGCACCTGAAGGCCAGACAGGAATAGTGGATGGAAACTGAACAAGGAGAGATTCAACCTGGAAGTTAAGGAGAAACTTTCTGACAGTGAGAACAATCAACCCATGGAACAGAAGTTGCCCTCGGAAGTTGTAGGAGCGCCATCACTTGAGACTTTCAAGAAGAGATTGGACTGCCATCTGTCAGAAATGGTGTAGGGTCTCCTGCTTGGGCAGGGGGTTGGACTAGATGACCTACAAGTCCCTTCCAACTCTGATTATTTGTTGTCTGTTATAGCGCTAATCCGTCCCTCGAAGAAACCCAGTTTGACACCCCTGCGGTACTACATGCAACAGCTGCATTCAGAGCCGTGAGTAATTTGAATATACAGGCAGTGTTCAACATAGTTCGATTCCAAGTTCAGAGCAACTGGAAAGCTTTGATGGCCCACCTCAAAATAATGCAGCGCTACAAAACGATGGGATTAAGTTTTTGCCTTAATACAGGACGCCCTCGACGTACGACCCCAATTGAGCCCAAAATGTATGTTGTTAAGTGAGAAATTGGTTTGGTGAGCCTTGCCCCAATGTTCTTGCCAAATTCGTTAAGCGAATCACTGCAGTTGTTAAATGAGTAGTCTGGTTGTTAAGTGAACCCGGCTTCCCAATTGACGTTGCTTGTTGGAAGGTCGCAAAAGGGACTCCGGGGCGCTGCGACCCATCATAAATGTGAATTGGTTGTCAAGCATCCGAATGTCAATCACGCGACCAATGGGGATGCTGCAACGGTTGTAAGTGTGTAAAATTGTTGTCACTTTTTCCCGTGCCGTTGCGACTTTGAACGGTCACTAAACAAAACCATTGTCAAGTCGAGAACTACCTGTATGATAGGCAGACCAGAATAAAGTACTAGTTTGAACTCTACACCGGTGGGTCCGATCGTTTTGAGCCTGACAACTCCACCTATGTTAAAGATGAACATCCCTTCTACAAAGACATACTGGTTGGCTTCTGGGAGGATGGAAGTCTGCTTGGAAACAAGGGGATCAGCCAAGAAGGTTCCATTCGCCCGATACCGAACCCTCCCAGGCAAATGCTGCGGTTGGTCATGTCCAGGCAAAGTTTCTTCAGGAGCAGACTGATGATCTTGCTGTCCCCTTTCTTCATGCTGACTGCTAAAGCGCTCCTAACGTCTTGTTCCCGGGCACCACTGTTGAGCAGGAGTTCGACCACTTTGGGGTTGCTTCCTTTCTCACATACCTAGGAGAAGGAGGGTGGGGGGAGGAGGGGAAGGGGAGGAGGAGGGAGAGGAGGAGAAGGGGGAGGAGAGGAAGCAGAAGCAGGAGAAGGGGAAATAGAGGAAGAGAAGGAGAAGGGGGAGGAGGAGGAGGAGGGGATGAGGAGAGAGGAGGAGGAGGGGAAGTAGAAGCAGGAGAAGGGGAAATAGAGGAAGAGAAGAAGAAGGGAAGGAGGAAGAGGAGGGGAGCAGGAGGAGGGAGAAAGTGGAGGGGAAGCAGAAGGAGGAGGAGAAGGGGAAATAGAGGAAGAGAAGGGGAAGGAAGGAAGGAGGAGAAGAGGAGGACGGGAGGAAGGAGAAGGGGGGAGGGGGGAGGACGAGGAGGGAGGAAGAGGGAGAAAGAGGGGAAGCAGAAGAAGGGGAAATAGAGGAAGAGAAGGGGAAGGGCGGAGGAGAAAGAAGAAAGAAGAGAATTATTAATTTCATCAGTGCTGGAGATTCCTTTCAATAGAGTCTATCCTGGTATAGCAGGATGTGAAAACACAGCCACTGTATTCTACAAACCATATTTTATGTGAATGTGGACAGCCTCAATAGCTCACGTAATAAATCATGGCTTAAACAAGTCAGGCAACTCTCTACGGAGATTCTCCGCCCTCCAGGTTATGATTGTCCCAAAGGTGCTTTTTCAGGAGGCAACTGGACTTTCTGGGTTTTTCTTTTGAAGACGTTTCGCTTCTCATATCCAAGGAGCTTCTTCAGCTCTGACCGGATGGTGGGGAATGGAAGGATTTATATTCCTTGCAGACAAAGCTGGTCATTTGCATCCTTTTCAGAGGGTCGTTGAGGCACTTGGAGGTTTAGCTCTGTTCTCAGGGTCACCTAAGCGGTGAAAATGGGTGTGGAGCCTTCTTGGCTGAAGGATGTTTTCTGCCCTGCATCAACCTTCCCTGTCGAAGACATGCACAGGCTGTTGGGGATGAGTCTGTGTTGTCTGCATCTCAAACTGAAGCGCACATGGTTTCCTCTAGTCTGCAACCGTTCTGGAAATTCATTCGTACTCCTGCACCATTCCAAGGGTGTTCACCCCAAAGTGCATAGCTAAAAGTCTATGGAGATTCTCAGTCATCCAGGTCATAGTTGTCCCAAAGATGCTTTTTTTAAATCTGTAATGAGACAGATAAACCTCCAGGTCACCTCAACAACTCTCTAAAAAGGACGCAAATGACCAAAGGTCTGCAAGGAATATAAATCCTTCCATTCCCCACCATACGGTCAGAACTGAAGAAGCTTCTTCCATGAGAAGCAAGATGTCTTCAAAGCAAAACCAGAAAGTCCAGTTGTCTTTTGGAAAGAAAAAAAAAAAGCACTTTTGGGAAGTTTTGCCAAACCTTGCCAAATACATTGGATTGAAGTCTTTCTTGCCATTTTAAGGAGAGCAATAAAGGGTTCACACCAATACGTTAAAACCAGGGAGTTTTACATCTGAGCCTGCCTGCCCGCGGTTTTAACTTACGTACGTCGTAAATTAAGGACTTTTCCTTCGAGCTTGTATTGACGTCGGCGCCCAGGAGCAGCAAACACTCGGCCATAAAGGTGTTGCACTCCTCACAGGCCTTCTCCAGCAACAGGTTTTTCAAGTCGTCGTGTTCAGTTATTTTGGCAAAGCATTTAAAGCAAAGACTTCGAAACTGAAACAGGAACAAGAGGGGATTGAAACTTGGGTGCGTGTTGTTGACCACTTTGATTAAAGAAAAGAATATAAGTGTCAACTCATAAAACATTCCTACGCCTGTTTTAGTAGTTGCCATAAAAAAGGAAGGTGGGGGAGAAAGGACATCTGGAAGAGCAGTGCAGCACTTTGAAAGCAAAAGTACATTTCAACTCTTTATCTTTAAAATATTGTAGCTAAAATAAGAGCTTTTGCCCGCAAATATATTGAATTGGAGAATGTGAATGATGACGTCCAACCTGTGAATGTGCTCAATTGGAGAATCTGATTTATGACATACCCAGGGGGGGAGGGGGGGGAAACAGGGTCACAGGTCTTCTAGTCCAACCCCCTGCCTAGGCAGGAAATCCTGCACCACTCCAGACAAATGGTTATCCAACATCTTTTTAAAAACTTCCAGTGTTGGAGCATCCACAACTTCTGGAGACAAGTTGTTCCACTGGTTAATTGTTCTCACTGTCAGGAAATTTCTCCTGAGTTCTTAGTCGCTTCTCTCCTTGTTTAGTTTCCATCTGTTGCTTCTTGTCCTGCCCTCTGGTGCCTTGGAGAATAGCTTGACTCCCTCTTCTTTGGGGCAGCTCCTCAGATATTGGAACACTGCTATCCTGTAATACCTAGCTCTTCTTTTTATCAGACTAGACCTACCCAGTTCCTGCAACCATTCTTCATTATGTTTTAGCCTCCAGTCCCCTAATCCTCTTTGTTGCTCTTCTCTGCACTCTTTCTAGAGTCTCCACATCTTTTTTACATCGTGGCGACCAAAACTGAATGCAGGATTCCAGATGTGGTCATACCAAGTGGTATTAACACTCCACGTGATCTTGATTCTATCCCTCTGCTTATGCAGCTTAGAACTGCGTTGGCTTTTTTTAGCAGCTGCTGCACACTTTATTAGATTGATAAGATCTTTATACGTAGTGGTGCGATGGCCTAGAGGTGGAGCTCTCGCCTCACAATCAGGAGGCTGTGAGTTTGATCCTAGGTAGCAGCAGATATTTCTCTCTCTGGGCACACTTAGAATGTATCTGCTGAACAAAACTCCACATTGATGACAGGAAGGGCAGCTGGCCAGTAAACACTCTGCTAGCTCCATTCAGTTGCCCAGACTTCAACCCTGCAAGGGATTATGGGGTCGTTAAATGATGATAGATAGATAGATAGATAGATCTTTATAGAAATGGCTTGTTTATATTATTAGGAAAAAGCAAAAAAGTTGTGATTTGATGTTAATGCGTTATTTCTTGGTAACAGAGAGAGTCAGAAGGACACGCTTCTTTTTCTTCTTTTTCTTATCTTTCCTCACTTCTCCTTCCCACTGCTTTCCTATTTACTTTGTATTTTGTATTACTGTATAACTCAATAAAAATGTTAACATAAAAAAAAGAAACTTAGGTACCTGTTCACTTGAGGTTTCACTTACTTTAATGTTAAGGTATTTCATAAACTAACTGGATACCCGTGCTTCGCTACGAAACTGTGGTCGGGCTTAGTTTTTGGGGAGGAAAATAAGGGGGAAAAAATTCTGTCTCTGCCTACCAGCATCCATCGGTATTCATCTGGCTAGCGTCCGGTCAGCGTGTGTGAGTTGAGGGCTGTTTGGAAACTGAAACAGCATTTGCTGTGTGAGCAAGAAGACAGCAAGGAGCCTGGGCGTGGCTTGGCTCAACTGTTCTGTACTAAAGCTGCTTGGTGCTGTGAAACTAAAACTGAAACTCCTTTCCTCTGCTTGTGTTTTGCATTTGGAAGAGATTTCTTTTCAGGTGGGGAGGGGGAGTAGAACTCCTTAGCATCAGAGCGTGTTAATTATAATAATATAGAAAATACTAATGCTCTGATGGTCATTTGGAAAAAATCCTTTCTTAGTGAGCACCTAGGAGCCAAGAGGAACATACGGGCCAAATTTCAAGTTTGTAGGCTTTACGGTTCTGGAGATTTTGTGATGATGCCTGAGTGGTATTTCGCTTTTATATATACATAGATTAAAGGTTGTTTTCCCAGGAGGGTTAAAAGAAATGAATTGAAGAGCTGAGACCCATTCAAAAGGAGTCAAGAAGAATACGGGTAGACCTTGACTTACAACCATAACTGAGTCCTATATCTGTCTGGCTAAGTGAGACAGTGATTGAGTGAATTTTGTTCCATTTTGCAACCTTCCTTGCCATGGTTGTTAAATGAATCCTCTCAGTTGTTAAATTAGTAACGTGGCTGTTCAGTGAATCGAGCTTCCCTCATTGACTTTGATCGTCAGAAGGTCACAAAAGGGGATCATGTAACCCTTCCGGGACACTGCAACCATCGTAAATACGAGTCGGTGGCCAAGCATCTGAATTTTGATCACGTGACCGTTGGGGGGGAGGAATGCTGCAACGGTCAACAAGATGGAAAAGCATTCACAGGTTGCTTTTTCTTTAGTTATGTTGTCACTTTGAACGGTCACTAACTGAACCGTCGTAACTCAAGGACTACCTGTGCACCAGAATTACAAATCACCTGCTGATCTCTTTGCTCATTAAAACACATGGAGAGCTGGTAGAAGAGGCAGATCTCGAACGATTCCTGTATGAGCAGCTTTGCAAACCAAGGGGATGACTGGAGTATGGTTACAATCATTTGAAATCCCTGTAATTCAATGGGAAAAAAAGTATCATCGGCTCAAATGTACCGTTAATAAATTGGGAAGGGAGAGTTTGAGATTTGAACATTCCTTATCTGGTTCCAATATGGGCAGATTCTATCATGGACTTACATTGAGGATTACCTGTGCATTCAAATAGCGTAGAGTAGAGCAGAGCAGAGTAGAGTAGAATAGAATAATGGAATAGAATAGAATAGATATTGGAATGAAGCATAGAATAGAATGGAATAGAATAAAATAGAATAGAACAGAACAGAATAGATATTGGAATGAAACATAGAATAGAATGGAATGGAATGGAATAGGAATAGGAATGGAATAGGAATAGAAATAGGAACAGGAATAGGAATAGAATAGTATATGGAATAGAGTAGAGTAGAATAGAATAGGAATAGGAATAGAATAGGAATAGGAATAGAATAGTATATGGAATAGGATAGAATGGAATGGAATGGAATAGGAACAGGAATAGCATATGGAATAGAACAGAACAGAAGTAGGAGTAGGAGTAGGAATAGAATAGAATAGGAATAGGAATAGGAATAGAATAGCATATGGAATAGAGTAGAGTAGAATAAACTAGATATTGGAATGAAGCATAGAATAGAATAGAATAGAATAGAATAGAAATATAGTAGAGTAGAGTAGAGTAGAGTAGAGTAGAGTAGAGTAGAGTAGAG